TCCCATTTAAAAAAACCATCGTGACCTTGAAATGACCTTCAAAATTGACCTCAAGGTCAAAACTAATGATACAATTAAATGACCCCGTCTGTCCTGGTCAACTTTTATCTAAACCATTTTTTTATAGATACCGTAATTTGGAAGATATTCGGGTCCATAGATTAAAATGACTCACCCTGTATATTATAGTTATATACTATATAAGAAATTTAGAGGCCTATTCTGTAATTCATAACGAGGCTTATTCTGTAACTATTAACGCTATAGTTACAGTCGTTAAGAGTTACATAAAAATAGGCCTCTCAATTACTAACGAAAAATGAAAAATATTACTAATTAAATTTCGAAGTATTAATGTAGCATATAATAAATATATAGGTAAATGTTCACTTTAGCGGAGATCTCTCCGATCATCTTGACCTTGATATGTTGTCAAGGTCATGACCCTGAGTAATGTCCAACAAGTTTTAGTTGTCGCTCGTTATTCATTAAAAAGTTATTAACCAAAGGTTTGAAAAAATAACGTATTATTTCTACTATATGTAACATTAAAAACTATTCTATGCCTTTCCTTACGTAATAGTTTCCCACGCGAAGGGAACTACATCCAATCCCGCCCTTGCTAAGGGGCGCATGACTTTTCACGCGAAGCGACTTTCAGTCCATCTGCTCCCCCTGTTTCAGGAACGCATAACTTTAAAGACTTTCAACCACCTCCCTCCTGCCGAGGGGGGAACGACTTTCCACGCAAAGCTGCTTGGAGTGGAATTCGCTTTGCATGGAAAGTCGTGTGCCCCTTGCCAGGGGGAGAGGTGTGGTGAAAGTCGCTTATCGTGGATGTCGTGCGTCCCTGAAGCAGGGAGGCAGGTGGGCTGAAAGACGTTTCGCGTGAAAAGTCGCCCCCTAATAGGTGGGAGATAAGGTGAAATTCGTTTCGCAAGGACAGTCGTAAAATGTTTTTATATATTTATATTTAAAGTAAAATATTTTTGTTCTATATAGTAAAAGAATATATCATTTTTTTCAAACACTTTTTTGTTAATAACTTTTTAACGGATAACGAGCGACGGCTAAAACTTGTTGGAAGTTACTCAAAGTCATGAACTGTGACAACATATGTCAAGGTCAAGGTTATTGGTGAGGTTTCAACTAAAGTGAACATTTACCAATATATGTACAGATACATGATGAAAAATCTTCACGTAAATGTTCTCATTTTCTTCAAATTTTTTATATCGTTATCAATTTTAGATATAAAGTTCAATGGTACGTAACTCCATTACCCATGCAAAGGCTAATACTGATTCTGCTACAAAGAGGTAATAAAAGTTTTGGCCTGAAAGTCGGTGGATTGTTTGTGGCGTCCTTAGAATGTTTTGCCACGGTACACAAAATATATTATATGTACTATACTATAATATTGAAAATATACTTTTTTCTTAATGCAACACAATTAAAGCAAATATAATTTTGTTTACAGTTAATAAATGCATCCGTTTCTTACTTTACTATTATGTATTCAATGCAATCATAATAATGTAATATGTTACAATTTATATTATAATAGTATGAAGTGTAGATGAAAGATGGTTTGCAATATATCTTATGTCTAAAAAACAAAAACACTAACATAAATGATGTATAAATGAAGGTCGGAAGAAAATATATTTATTAAATTACCGAATTAATTTAATTATAAAATTACCATTAAAATTTATAACAAAAGGATGTATAGAATATTTAATCAATCATTTAAATGTGGTAATAACAATTAATATTTATATTCGTCGTATTCATTCATTTATAGTAATTACAAAAATCTTTTTCATTTTTGAATTCCTTCAATAGATATAATGAGCAAAATACGATACAATAAATACAATAATACTTAACGTAAGAAAAAGGTCAACTAATATACATACTTGCATTGCACGTTACTTTATATTTAATAGTAATTCACATGATAGGATAGAGTAAAATAAATTGCAGTGACTTTATTTTATCGAGTAATGACTTAATTTTACGTGTTAGATTTATTTCTTTTAATTAATATTCCACTTCACACTTTCATCCCGAATGTAATTAAAGTTCATTTATCGTAACATTAATGCAGCTAATGATAAAATAAGCCGTATTAAATCATGATCCCATATTGATCTTTATCCTCAATATACCTTCAATTTTAACATTCCGCCAGCGGACGCAGGGTCTCGCGAAACCCGCGAGTTAAAGTTGTTTACTCTTTTCAATCTTTTCATCTGTGAAGAAAATGAATAAATGGATATTTGTTTCTATCATAAATATGTGTTTCTATTTCTCCTTCTATATATTTTATACATATTATAATAAAAAAATTACTTTTCAAGCTTTTCAAAACAATTTCATTCCTAGGTCACTATTGACCCTGCGTTCGCCGTGCGTGCGAGTATCACGACGTCCGCTGTCCGAGGGTTAATTCAAAGGAATAAAGAGATTTTTCTTTTATTTATTTATACCTTAATTATATATAAACACCTCATCTATAACAGAATTTTTCTTGTTGAATGAAAATTGATGATTTTTCTGTTAAATTCTATATTTTGTACCTCACATATGTAATTAATAAAGAAAACTCTAAAAATTTTCTTATACAATGTAAACAATAATTTATACGAGGTGACTTATTTTAATTGATTTTTTAAAGTAAAAAGGAAGAAATTAAATTTTAAAAATACCAATAAATTGAAGTTAAGAAAAGAAATGCATTTAATAGTTAATAATATCTAAGTACAATTTTGTGATGTATAGATTGTAAAGATTCTGCATCCTTTACTTACAAATACAGACACATTCTCCTATTTGAAGATATCTTTTTTTCCCCAGAGAATGAAATGGATACTAAAAAAGAATTAAATCACGTATCCATATACTAAAAAGGAATAAATTGCAAATCTATACATATCTATACATAGCTCACACTTATCGACAAATACGCGAATTTATTTATATAATTCCATAATATAACGTAAATTATATACTAAAAATATGTAACGTAAACTAAACACACACATTTATCGTTAAAAGTGAGCTAAAAAAATACGGATTAATAATTTTATAATTATTTTACTGTATTTTAAGGTTAGTCGTAGTGACCCTAAAAAATCAAGTATAACTTACAAGAGCTTATTTTAGAATGGAACACGAGAATACGCATCGTTGAAAATGTAGCTACAGCGCTTGCGCTAGTTTTACAGCCGTAGTTGAATCGATCGCTTAAACACGACATATTTTAAGAAAGCGATATTAAATTGCGAGGGTTTTAATATTACGATAGTATATTATGCACATTTCACGGTACTTTTATCTCAATGAAAATTCAAAAAATTTTCTGAAATTTAAGTAAACTTCAACAATTCAGCGTAATTGGCTGAATTATTGAAATTGTCTTAAATTATGGAACATTTCTTGAATTAGAAGAAAAAAACATTTAATCGATCAACTGAATGGTGGGGATAAACTCAACTTCGTTTACTTCAATTCCGTTAAAAACATTTTGAAGTTAGCTGAGACATGATCAGTGTCGTGGATAGATATTTCAGTCTTAATCGAACTCTCTTGTTGATAGTTGGTTTGTGGCCTTATGAAAAATCAAAATTTGTTGGATTACAAATAATATGTATACTTAGCATCTTTATAACTTGCATTATATTTCAGGTATGAAAATTTTAATTTTAATAATATTATCTTAAATCTAGAATTTATATAGATTTATAATTGCAAATTTGCTGATTAATTCAAGAATCGATATTTCCTTGAAAATATGAATTGACTTGAAATATATGTCAAATAAGTAATTAAATATAAAAAATTAGTGCAAATATTAGTAAGATCTTATTCTTTATATGTATAAAAAAAGTTATAAGAAAGGTGTTATAAAAAAAGTTTATGCAAATATATGTACATATACATACACATATACATAAACAATAGTTGTGCGCGCGAGTAACAAAATGTTGTTATGTGCTGATTTCTGTTGCACATAGTTACATAATTACATTAATATGAAATTAAAAAATTATGATTATACAACTTAATACTTTTGAGGTTTTCACGAAAACTTTCCATACAGAAGTTACCTATACGTTTCGCAGGTTATCTTCAAATCCATTATTAGAATGCTAATTTTTCGTGAATATTGCTGTTTACTTCATCAGTATCTACTTGATACAGTATCAGGCTACCCTTTGCCATGACGAAATAAATTGCAATGTTTACGAAACATTGGCATTTTAATAACCAATTCGAATACGAATTAATTCGCGAAATCCAATTATACAACTTGATAAAAATTATTGTATAAAGTAATAAAAATGGCTTACAGTTACGTTGAAATAGGTTACAATATAAATAACGTTTTCCATTTCTTCCTAAAAAAAAGTTATTATTTACAGCTTACAACAATTTTGATTTCAACATGTTCTACAGAAGTCATCATCAAAGTTCATTCTACAGCACTTGCTTTTAGCATTTTTATTATAAAATATAATTCCTTCTACATTAACAGTGAAACGGCAAGTTGACAAATATATTTGATAAAATAAATATTTTAACAAATATATCCAATATTATTTATTAATTTTGTAAATTTTACTAACATTAAGACGTATAATATAAAAACTCATTGATAATATAGATAAAATATTTAATGGAACAAATTCAGCATATCTATGACGATTTAAGTGACAGTAACGAAGTTGCTATCGTAGAAAAATATGGAAATAATGCGAAACAGTATACGGCTGTGCTTATAGGTAAGATATTTTTTATTTTTTTTATGTAAGAAATTACTTAATGAAATTTTCATTAAACCTTTTACAACTAAAGAGATGTATTTTACGTTATAGTGAATCAAGTAAGCATTTGAAATGTATGTTAGCATTTGTAAATGTACCAAAGAATAATGCACGTCAAATGCTGCGTAATTAAAATAATTTAACTCTTCGTAATCCTAAATATAATGTTTTAGTTTTGAGATATAAAATTGAGATTGTAATGATACAAGCGTTGCATTGAAATATTAAATAATAGTGCCAAATATACCTTAGAATTTTTTATATATAACAAAAGAAATATCATAAATATATAGGATTGTTCCATTTTAATGCATCATTTCCAAAAACTTTTTTATTTCTCATTTCAGAAAAAATGTTTTAGATAAAAGTAGTTTTAATAAAATTCATTATATACATTGACTTAACTTGAAAAAGATTCACATGTAAAATATTTTAAAATATGATACATTTATAGTAATATAAAATTTCAAATAGTATATTCAAAAATATTTTATACTTATTACTTCATAATATTGTGTAGTGATTCTTATATGTGGATTATCTGTTGTTATGGGCGTCTCTCTATGGTTGCATTTTATTGATATTGTATTATCTGCAAACGAATCTCGATCACATCACCTGCAGGTCTCAACCGAATATTTTATCGATCAACAAAGATATTTCTATTTAATGTTTTTCCATGTAAATGCAACTATTACTATAGGGTGCACAGTATTAATCGGAACAGGTTCATTGTTCATTGCCTATTTTCAGCATGCCTGCGGAATGTTGAAAATTGCTAGGTAACGTGATAAACATATATAATAATTAAAAATTTAACGTAGTGTCATAAGACCGTAATGCGTGAATACACATCTAACAAAAGCGTACATGGTATGAGTTGTATCTTAAGTGGTTAAATACTTCGGTGTGAATTTTATCTAAGAGTAGGTATATACTAAATTTTGCAAACTACACGCCGATATCATTTTCAGTTATGAAACGAAGTCATAAATGTAACTAGAGTAAACATATCATACATTAAATTGAAAAACTACTATAATAATAATGTTGATGCTAATCAATATCTTGGAAGGATATTAATAATTTGATATTAATAAGCATCCCAGTAAACACAATATTACATGTTACATGTGCGTTACATGTAACATTGTGTTTACTGGGATCTTAAAAATTGTTACAAAATTTAAATTATTAGAAATGGGCTCTTGGTTCTCTCATTTTCAAAAAGCATTTGTTTTGATACGAAAAGTTTACTTTACAAAATATTAGCTATTAATATGCTTAGATTTAAAAGTTTTAATAGTTAGTTTATTAAAATAACGAAATCGTAATATCCATTATTCCTTACAATAATGTGCAATATAGTGTATCGAAAGTTACTTTTTACCTTTACCTTGAAAGTAAAATTTTAAATGATATAAAATCAAATAATATTTTCATTTATATCATAATGTTATTGAAATCTCAGCAGTCCAGGTTTATGTAATATTACAAATAAGCTTATCACGACAAAAAGTGTTCACGGATATGTATTACGCTATAAAACCAGATCAATAATAAATGCGCAACGCGAACATACTCATAAAAATTATTTTATTAAATTATATCATTAAGACAAGCTAACTTTTTCTCGTATTTCATTAAAATCATTGTGCATTTTTACTTCTTGCTATAGTTATCAGTTATTAAATTATTTTCA